AAGCTGCTGCAGCTCTCTCTTAAGCTGTATAGGACCCTCACCATGGTAGCACGACTCCGGTTGTAAGATTGTTAAACTCGCAATTAAACTGTACTTTTGCAGCCCTCTCCTAAGATTGCTCTGGAAAGTTTGTGCAGGAAGTCTGGTGTTTGTCATTGTGGTGCCTTCGTAAGTACCGTAACACATTCACTGCAAATTAAACACATAGGTTTGGCATTTGGATTTGGCAGTAAAATTAATAATATTATAGTATTTGTCAGTCCAGGCAGGGTTAAACCGACGGTTTTATTTTCAATTTTACTCTTTTGGACTGAGAAAGACACGCTGTTGTCACATCATACATTACGAGGATAGTTTAATATGTTTACATCACGGTGCATTGTGGGTTAAATATTGCTAGGCTACTAGTGTTGCATTCACAGTCTACACTACGCTGTAGGAATTTGTAATTTTTTTTTTTAATTAATTTTTTGCGTTTTCTCTGTGTTTCTGCCAGGACCACAGGCAGGGCCACTGACAGGTTGCTTCTGGTTCGCATGTGGTCCGTGGGCCGCCATTTGAATAGGCTTGCCTTATGGCATGAAATAGTGAAATAGTGAATTTACACTTTTTTTATGTATAATTTGTTGAATAATTGTGTGAGTCAGTGTATAAAATAAGTTGAGAAGTAAAATGTTAAATGGATTGGATTGCATTTATATAGCGCTGTTCTAGGCACCCAAAGCGTAGCTACAGTTGTAGCCACAGCTGCCCTGGGGCAGACTGACAGAAGCGAGGCTGCCATATCGCGCCATTGGCCCCTCTGGCCAGCACCAGTAGGCGGCAGGGTAAAGTGTCTTGCCCAAGGACACAACGACCAGGATAGAGAGAGCAAGGGGATCGAACCGGCACAAGGTTATTCTCGTTAACGAAAACTAACAAAATAACGAAAACTAGAAGTGAAAAAACATTTTTGTTAACGAAAATAAAAATGAAAACAAGACTTTGTAAAAAAAGGAAAACTAACTAAAACTGTAATGAGTGTTCACAAAACTATCTAAAATTAACTGAATTTATAGCGAAAATGTGTTTCATTTTCATTGATGTGTGTATGTCATACAATAGGGTGAAAATGAAGTGTAGTTTCCAGGGGAGTTTTTCTTGCTGTCTAATTATGCCAGCAGGTGGCAAGTACGTTAGTCTAGTCGTCTGTGTTGCTGCTCCGTCCTCGCGCAGAATCCTGCCAGCAAAAGTCAGGAGAAATCGCCAGAGTCCAAGTTGGGATTACTTTGAAAATGATTGTATTTTAGACAAAGCAAGTGTCTTGTAGTGGAAAGAGACAAAATATGCGGAACATTTCTAAAGGGGAAAAAAAATCCCAAAAACCTTAAAGTGCACTTGAAAAGCTCGCACAAGAAGGCTAACCTAGCTTACCTTGTGAAGGTAAGGGAGCACGCCCAACCCTCATCCCCAGAAACAGAAGCTAACCCCAGGCAAGGCAGCGTGATGCATCCTCAGACAACTCCACAAAAAAC